CTGTTGTTGTTGAGGCACCTGTTGTTGTTGAGGCACCTGTTGTTGTTGAGGCACCTGCTGTTGTTGAGGCACCTGTTGTTGTTGAGGCATCTGTTGTTGAAGCATCTGTTGTTGAGGCACCTGTTGTTGAGGCACCTGTTGCATTTGCTGTGGCAACTGATGCGGTTGCTGTTGTTGTGACATCTGTTGCTGCTTGTCAAGGGTGTTATCAGAAATCAACAGCTGCTGCTGCTGCAGCTGTTGCTGTACATAAGCTTGATCAACCTGATGTTGCGGCTGAGAATCTTGACGCAACATATTTTGCACCTGCTGCTGCTGCTGGCCTTGCTGCATCTGCACTTGCTGTTGAGGCACCTGTTGCTGTTGAGGCACCTGTTGCTGTTGAGGCACCTGTTGCTGGTTTTGTTGTTGAACATTTTGCTGTTGTTGCAACTGTTGCTGTTGCACAGGCGGCTGTAGTTGTTGCATCTGTTGCACAGGTTGCTGTTGCATGTGCTGCAACAAGTGTTGCTGCATGTGTTGCTGTTGCTGCAGCTGCATCTGCTGCTGTTGCTGCAGCAGCTGCAGTTCAGAGGGCGCAGCAATTGGCTGGATGTGATGCTGGTTGTCCACCGCCTGATCTATCTGCCTGCGGATGAGCTCGACCTGCATTTGCTGCATCTGTTCTTCACGCAGCTGTTCCTCCATCATCATCTTCTCCGTCTGGAACTTGTTGAACTGCTCCAAGGTCTGCTCCATGAGGTATGGGTGCAGGGCTGGGGCGTCTGGAGGTCTGGCAGAGCCGCCCCCAGCCATCATGAGCAGGTGTTGGTCCATCGTGAGCTGGGGTTGGTCCTCGAGTATCTCGCTCATGAGTTCGTTGTTACGGCGGTTCTCGCGCTCGCGCTTCATGTTGTGGACGGCAGCGTGGACGAGACGACACACGGACGTCTCTTCCGCCCCCGCGATCATGTTCGTCGCCACCTGAGGGGGAGGAAGGGCGTTACAAGCGGCACTAACAGGGGTTGTCTTAAGTGAAATTTGAAGGAAATATTAAAAAGAGTTGGAAATAATGATACACCGCCAGCAGAAGTATGAGTTGCGGCACATATATCATTTATAGCCAGGGTCGAACTCCGGAGGAGTTATGTCTGAGCTTGTGTACATGTACAAGAAGATACATATACTGCACATTGGATCACCTTAAATAGACTGCAGTTCCAAGCAACCCACCAATCCCTAGTGTCAGCACCAAGACTCAGCCCCTAGTTATGAGGACTGTCTAAAAAGTATCCGACCTTCATTTTTCCCGTGCAAAATAGAGACGATAGCGCGGCGCCACTCTACACAGTGGAGGGAGACACCTTCATGCGAATGCGTTAACTTTGTCACGGCCTTCCAACGTCCAGTCGCTACCTATCAGTCGCTGAGTGAGGTAAAGTGAGCTGAGTGAGTCGCGAAGCAAAATCAAGGTGATGTTGACCGCCTTCTTTGATATCCGTGGAATTGTGCCTTACGAATACGCACCAGAAGGACAAATAGTGACAAAGGAGTACTATCAAGAAGTTTGTTCTCCGGGGAAGAACAAATAGTGACAAAGGAGTACTATCAAGATGCTCTCCGGCGATGTTCTTCCAGAGGTGTTTCCGGCAGTGGAAGAATTGGTGGGCTAAGTGTGTGCACTGTCTCTTATACACATCTAGATGTGTATAAGAGACAGATGATAGTTAGACATGANTGCATTACAAGTTTCACTACCAAGACTCAGCTCCTAGTTATAACTGCATTACAAGTTTCACTACCAAGACTCAGCTCCTAGTTATAACTGCATTACAAGTGTCACTACCAAGACTCAGCTCCTAGTTATAACTGCATAACAAGTGTCACTACCAAGACCCGAACAGTAAAAGGGTAGTTAAGAGTAAGAGCGTCACCATGGCGCTGGCGATGCCCTCGGGGGTGTCTGTGCTGAGGTTGAACTCGAACTCGATGGCCTCGTTCTCCTTGTGCTTGTCCTTACGCTTCTTGGCATCTGTTACGCGCAGCCTGTAACGTAAATAAACGTCAGACATCGCGCGTAAACAGAGGACTGCTGTACATGAGAATAACAGTACATGTAACCAGACGTGGGAGTGATTATTCCCCCACCTGAGGGTGATCTTGGGGTCATTAGAGGCCACGGCCTCGTCCTTGTTGACGACCTCGACGACGCCGATGTCCTCCTGGAAGAAGTAGTTGTTGAGCAGCTCCTTGACCGTCGGCCTGAGGGGAGGAGGGGAGTTAGAAAAGGGTTGAGGAGGAAGGGGAAGATAATTGTTGATACTCACAACTGACGATAGCAAAGATACAGTTGGAGGTTATGGTGCATATGGCAACAGTGAAGGATATGGTGCCTAGCCACTTGCACAGGACAGAACAGCACAGCACAAGACAGTACAAGACAGTACAGCACATCACGGCACAGCACAGCACAGCACAGCACAGCACAGCACAACACAGTACAAGACAGTACAGCACATCACGGCACAGCACAGCACCTGTCTCTTATACACATCTAGATGTGTATAAGAGACAGNAGCCCTACACACACGCTGTCTACACACATAGCCCTACACACACGCTGTCTACACACATAGCCCTACACACACGCTGTCTACACACATAGCCCTACACACACGCTGTCTACACACATAGCCCTACACACACGCTGTCTACACACATAGCCCTACACACACGCTGTCTACACACATAGCCCTACACGCGCGCTGGGTACATATACAGCCCTACACCTGTCTCTTATACACATCTAGATGTGTATAAGAGACAGCATCTACTCACACTGCCAACTCAAATCTACTCACACTGCCAACCTGAACCACTTATATCTACCTTGCTATATTCACATCTACCCTCATCTACTCACACTGATAACCTTCCTGTAGATCTGTGCAGGGCCAGAGCACTCGCCATAAGGGTACTCCAGAGTCTACTCACATCTACCCTCATCTACTCACACTGATAACCTTCCTGTAGATCTGTGCAGGGCCAGAGCACTCGCCATAAGGGTACTCCAGGGTCGCCATCTCCATCATGCACATGCCGAACGCGTACACGTCGACGCCTTCGTCGTACTTCTCCTCGTACACTTCCGGCGCCATGAACTCCGGTGTGCCTGTAAGTGTAGCTTCATCAGCACTCACATAAATTAATGGGTTGTCTTGTCCGAATACCCACACACTTCCTGTAAGTGTTACGTTATCAGCACTCAAATAAATTAACGGGTTGTCTTGTCCAAATAGAAACACACTTCCTGTAAGTGTTACGTTATCAGCACTCACATAAATTAATGAGTTGTCTTGTCCAAATACCCACACACTTCCTGTAAGTGTTACGTTATCAGCACTCACATAAATTAATGGGTTATGATGTCCAAATAGAAACGCACTTTCCTAGCCGGCGTGCCTGCAGGGCACTCACGAAAATTAATGGGTTCTGATGTCTAAATAATCACTTTCACAGCCCATAGTACAGTAACAGAGAGCAAACGTAGCACTAATATGTCCTTTTGCCAAGAGAAACTGGGCCACACAAGTGACAAGAAGTGAGTGCATCGAAATTTGGATAAAGTATCACTTATTTCTTTGATTGAAGACACGTGCCAAGTATCAGACCATAACTGTTCTCAGTTTATAATACGAGCAGTATACGAATATAACTTTTTGAACAATAGAAGGATTTATTTGTGGCATAGAACTTGTCTTATTGGGACATGTGAACATAGTAAACTTTTTAATTATGGAATTATATGCTCATTTTAATGAAAATGAGCATTTAATTCCACCCTATACTAACAACGAGAGTTTAGGGTCAATGGCGACAGTCGGGTGCTGCTTTGTGGGAAGTGGAAATGAAGATTGCCTGCGGTGTACAGGCCAATGGTCAGAGGACAATTTGGCCTCACCACCTCCCTGACTTAGAGAGCGACACGAGGAACAAACTTGTGGTCACGGACCTGTTCTTGAGAGCAACTTGCAGCCGCCTCTCACCGATGACACTCTTAGCAAAGGACCTGCAGCCGCCACTCACCAATAACACTCTTAGCGAAGGACCTGCAGCCGCCACTCACCAATAACACTCTTAGCGAAGGACCTGCAGCCACCACTCACCAATAACACTCTTAGCGAAGGACCTGCAGCTGCCACTCACCAATAACACTCTTAGCAAAGGACCTGCAGCTGCCACTCACCAATAACACTCTTAGCGAAGGACCTGTTCTTGAGGGTGGCCAGCCCCAGGTCGCCGATCTTGACGCTGCCGGTGGTGCCGGTGATGAAGATGTTGTCGCACTTGAGGTCGCGGTGGATGATGGGCGGGGACCGCGAGTGCAGGAAGTACAGGCCCTTCAGGATCTGCTGGCACCACCGCTTCAGCACCTTCAGGTTAACCTTGCGCAGCCGACGTAGGTATCTGCGGTCAATGTAACACGTTAAACTGTGCCACTTGATGTTATGGGGTTGAACCCAGCACCCTAACAGCTGACTAAACACCTATCTAAACACCTGCTCATGCAGCTGCACAAACACTTGCCCATACAGCTGCACAAACGCCTGCCCATACAGCTGCACAAACACCTGCCCATACAGCTGCACAAACGCCTGCCCATACAGCTGCACAAACACCTGCCCATACAGCTGCACAAACACCTGCCCATACAGCTGCACAAACACCTGCCCATACAGCTGCACAAACACCTGC